TAGGTTGGATGGGGCTTTGAGCAACCTGGTCTAGTGGAAGGTGGCCCTGACCATAACAGGGGGGTTGGAACTAGATGATCTTTAAGGTCCCTTCCAACCCAAGCTATTTCATGATTCTATGAATAAGACATTACATTTTGAAGATGCAGCTGTTTAAGGTCCATAACCAGGAGGTCTATATTTTACTTTGAAAATAAATTAATTTCCATTACACAAATGATGTAATCATTTACGTACACATGAAGCCAATTTTGAAGACATGACAACTTTATGACAGTAACATAAACAAATACACATCTCAAATTTGCCAGATTTCTGAACTATTGTAGTTTTGATTCTAGCTATGGCTCTAGAGAAAAAACAAACTTAAATGGGTGTAATATTGAGTTCCAGACACTTCACACCAACAACATTTATCAAATACAATTGTGCCTTCAAAAGTATAAGCCCACTAAAATATATCTGCAGGAATACAATTTAAGTTTCCCTTTGTAGCAATTGTTCTGATATTGTTTACTTGCTTGGTATTTTTTTCTCTGTTCATTCAAACTTCATGCAAATACGGGAAAGGCTTCTAGCCCTTTCCCCTATTTTATTCTTCTGTTTTTAGGCTTCTAGCTGGAAAAATTGAAAATAGATGTGGTAGCTCACAAAAAAGCATTATACAAAAAGCATTCATAGATTTTATAGTTAGAAATATAAGTGTTGTCATTTAACCTGGCAGGCAGCTGAACACCATAGAGCTGCTCACTTGTTCACTCCCCCTGCACCCCCAGTGGAATAGGGGAGAGAATCAGAAAAAAAATAAAACCCATGGGTTGAGATAGAGACAGTTTAATAAAACAGCAGAGGAAAAGAATAACAATAATAATAATAGTGCTAAGAGAACATACAAAACAAGTGATGCACAATGCAATTGCTCACCACCTGCTGACCGATGCCCCAGCCCATCTCGAGCAGCCAAACTGCCCCAGTTTATATACCGAGCATGATGTCATATGGTGTGGAACACCCCTGTGGCCAGTTTGGGTCAGCTGTCCTGGCTGCACCCCCTCCCAGCTTCTTGTGCCCCTGGCAGAGCTCGGGAGGATGAAAAGTCCTTGACTAGTGTAAGCCCTGCTCAGCAACAACTAAAACATCTTCTTCTGCTAAATCCAAACCACAGCACTATGCCAGCTACTAGGAAGAAAATTAACTCTATCCCAGCCGGGACCAGGACAGTAAGATGTATATAAGATGCCAGTAACTTTAAAGTGGAAGCCAAACCAATAAGTGAGCAAGACCGAAATGAATTGTTCATGGGAAAAATAAACAAACAAGAACTGCTGCATCAGAACACACTGGTGAGGTTCTTCCAAAATCTGTGAGACAATAAAATCCCTGCAGCAGGATGGCCGATACTTCTTGTAACAATTTTTTCTATTTCATTTACCCATGATTGTAAACACTCAGGTATAAAAATGGATGATAATTGTTAAGCCTGTTAAATTCTTGGACTTAGTGATACTTTGTAGAATGGAGGTTAATATGCAACGTGTAAAAAAGCATCTCCTTTACTCTGTGTTACAGCCTTTCAGTTTAACGAAAGTTTTGTTGGTTTGGAGCTGCAAGAAATACTGAAGCACCTTTCCCTTTACATTATTTTCACTATTCACTGTTTTGCATCTTTCTGCGATGTTTCTCTCCTGTTTCCTCTCTGTAAAGTTATCAATCTTTTTAGTCTGTCCTCAGAAGGGAACACTTCCAAGCCTCTCTCTCTGACCTGGTGGTGGAAAATCTTTATCTTTTTTCCTTGGATAATTCCTGACTGTTTCAGTGAGTTTCAGTTGGTTCCTGAGCTTCGGGTACCTCTGATAAGCTATGGAAGCATGTAATTGGGGGATGGTAGGAAATTGTGGGGATAGAAGAAGAAAATAAAAAGAGAGAGAAAGGGGAACAGAATCTCAGGACCTTCAATAGTGACAAGATGGGTAACTCATGGAAGGCATTTCAAGGAACCATGCCCTCAGGTCAGCCCATGAACCACAGAAAACTAGCTCAGAATATCTTCAGACTGTTTTATTGCTTCATTTAGTACTGAAATGTATCTCACAGTTCAAGCAAATGAATCCACATAGTGGTTTGTTTCTTCAGGGCAAAACTGGGTACCATAAATTTTGAATTAGCAAACAGGATTTATGAAAGAAAAATGCAGGTGTTTCACTAGATTTGAGATTAAATTTGAGTCACAATTCTTATGTAATGTTAGACAATGAACAGGAAAACCCTAATTACCTGTACATGCAATAAAGCACTTCTGAAAACTGAAATTTAAACCCAACTATACTGCCTAGATAAGTAAAAGCACAAGAATTCAGATCTCATCCTTTGACAGCTATGGAAAAAGCAGCAAGTTTAAGTGTGTGCTCCAGGATTGTGACTTCAGCATGTAGATAATCTGGTATGAACAGCTTGCTTGCTCTGTACATTTTTGCTCACATAACAAATCACAGCGTTGTTACAGAGGATGATAAATCCTTAATTCAGATGCCACTTACTTGATCTCTTCCTGATTTGTGTGATGTCATGTGGCGGTCGAGCTGCGTTCTGTACGCAAATGTGTAACTGCACAAGGAGCAACTAAAGTTATCCTCATTTTTTTCATGGCGATATTTAATGTGTTCCTTCAGAGAGGTAAAACGCTTGTATCCTCGATCACAATATGGACAAGTAAGCAGTTGGGAAAATGCATCGGGTGTTCCTACACAGGAAAGACAATACACCATATTTAAATAAATGTAAGCTCCAAACTTATTAACATCAACAAATATGCTTTACATTTACATATGTGACTGTAAGAAAACATGCAGCTGCTAGAAGCTCCATCTGTTTTAGAAAAGGAATAATGACAATTTTTTTTCCCCACAGATACTATGTTACTAACTACAGTATGGTACGGTTGCCCCCATGTACACTGGAGAGAGTCAGCACAATACAATTACCCAAAGCCACACCTGCAAGTCTGTTGGACTTCCCAATACAGCACTAGAGCTTCTACATGTGTATTTCTGATTAAAATGTGGTCTGAAAATTGTGAAACATTGTTTAAGATCCAGTAATCTTCGTAGCTCTGGTTTGTGTAGAATTTACTGACTTTATTTTTACTGAACATGCCATTGTTCTTGCAAAAGCGAAAAAGGAAGAGTCAGACCAGTTTTCATCATTACTAAAAAACAACGCTTTCTCTGTCACATGGGTTCTTTTACACTTGGTCTGGTAACAGGCAAAGTAACGCTTGAACTGCATTGGTTTTTGTGGTGTTCTACCCCTTTCTGCTTTTCCTGGATTAGTTGGGTTGTCTCAAAATGAACCCACCGCCACATGCATGGACATCGTATGCTTCCCTTCAATTCTCTTTTTTCCCCATCTACAGTTCACCTGACATAAAGAATACTCCATTTCAGCGGAAATACAACTCAGTGGAAATGTCAGAAGCACATTAACTTAAATTCTGTTTCCACTGGAGCAAATGGCGAAATGGCAATGGTTTCCCAAAGCCACTAAAGACACTAATTCTCTGTCACTTCTGTCAGTCCCCTGGTTTGGAAGCATGTATCTTTAGCAAATATCATTATATTTTTGGCACTTTCTGTTCCAAATGATTAAAGCACTGAACATTATTCAGCATTGTGATTTTCAGAATACTTCCCTGGGAACTTACTGGGATAGGTCCAATTTAAATTATTAATGTAAATGTGGGCTTTTTTAATGATTACATGGAAATCATATTGCAAGGCTGTAAAACTAACTTGACAATTTGTGCCATGGCAACTACAGATTAAAATCTTAAATGAATTAAATTGTAATTTTTAAGATGCTACTGTTGAGCATATGTCCTACTTGAATTTTCCAAAACTTGTAAAGTAAACAACAAAATATTAGTAATTCAGGTCCTATTTCTCTATATAAAAAGGCACATACACATTTTAAATTCCTCAAATTTAATTTACTTTTTTTTTTTGGCTAAAATCTCTAATAACATTAAATCTCTGGAAGACCAGAACAAAATTGTTAGCATTAGCCCTTGCACTGCTCTCCCTTAGACTCCAGTACGGTAATACAGCTACAATTACATCTTTTGTTCAATTATGTACATTTTTTAAATGACTGGAACACAATAACTCCTAATCTTTTATGTAGGATGTTGCTTTCTCATGAAAAATCTTAAATACTCCAAATAAAGGAACGCAATCTGGTTGAAATTGCAGTTGTCACAGATTATAAAAGCAGAACGCTTCAGAAAGCAGCACAGAACGCAAAACCAATCTGAACAGGTTTTGCCTTCAAATATTTCATGAAGAAGATCTGTTCAACGTTTCATGATGAAAAATGAACAAAGTATGACTTCTCATTTCTCTCAGAAGAACATCTTAAGCATGAAACTTCTTTAGAAAAAAAGACATCTACTTAAAAATAACCAGTCATTATGTTTTCAAATAAACATTTTTGTATAAACAGTATTTCTTTTTGTCCACTGCTGTCTTTTCAGGAAAAAATTAAAAAGCCTTTCATAGACTGGCTACCTAATATAAGAACTCCTATCTATTAGATCCTTTTGGACATTTTGTTTAGAAATATAAAAAGAAAAGAAACATGTTGTAACTCCTCCTAAGTTATTCTTACCTAAAACCACACTATTTTGCTTCACTCCCATTATATTTAATAAAAATTTGTTCTGATCTTTCCTATAATGCTACTGAATGGATTAATGAAAGCTTGAATTTTTATATCCAGTTACTGTTGGTTATCATTTAGGTACCCATACAACTGGACCCCAGTGCATATCTTGTTTCACCAAATCAGGTAGTAATGTTTTTTGCATGACGATCCCATCGTCTTATAATTATTTAACTAAGATCCGCTCCCCCCCGCCCCGGACTTACCCATGTATGCATTGCTGTCTTCTAAAATATAACAGAACTTTTGGGTCAAGTAGCTTTTACAATTTATTTCATAAGAACTGAACTGGTGGCATATTTACCATTTTCATCCTGACCACTAGCTTCTGGCGTGCCTTGTCTCTGGTCCTCCTCAGGTGCTTCAGGGTAGATAACAGCTGTATCTTCTTGTTGAAGGAATTCTTCAACGTTAGGGTCATGGTTTTGTTCATTTTCTGCATCAGAATCACATTCATGTTCTTTTACTAAGAGTGAAAAACAAGATATGAAATGAAGAGTTTAAAAAGAACATAAATGAGATTCAGTAATTCACATTGCCAAATCACCCTCTATCCAAGGATTTCAAAACTCTTTATGAATATTAGTATAGGTCAAGCCCTTCAAGATGCAGGAATATGCCAAGTTTTAAAACAGAGAACCAGTGGCATAATGAAATTTAAAAATTTGACTAAAACCATGGTTTGCCTCTTCAACTAGTGCATTTTTATCGTTTTAGATTTAGCTGTTCTCCTCAACTTCCCTAAAAATCTTAAATGTAACATTAATTATGATTTAGCCCTTATAGTTCAAGGTCAGCTTACTGTCTTGGCTCTTATGTTTGCAAAAGTAAATTTGTTGCCTTCAAGACAATTTTAATGTTATTTAAGACCTGTTCATTAGCATAAGCCTAGAAGATATTTAAACTCTGAGTAACAAGTTTGAAACGCTATGTATTGACCCGTATTTGTATTCTATATAAATATGTGTAAGATGAGTGCTATTCCTTGCTTTGCTCTTTGGAGACGCGGTGCTGCAGTGGTGAGAGGAACCCAGACTATTCTTCTGCAGCTGAAACACTGTTTACAATTTAAGACCTCTAGCGTGGAAGAGCAAAGCAGTTTATAAAGAGAGGTGGGAGAATTTCCAAGATTTCAGAAGGATACTCACCTAGCCAAAATTAAATATCACTTTATGAATAAGGGACTCAGACTAACAAAGAAATACCTGTACATCCAACTTCATCTGTCTGAGCTTCAGGCCCCAGGATTTCCTTTGTTTCTTTTCCACCTGAAACAGTACATTTCACAAAAAGAAGAATGAATATTTAAAAAAACCCAATAGAACAAAAAAAAGCCTCACACACAACAACAACTTAATATATGAGTTATTTCTTCAGCAATTTTTTCCATTTCTTTATTGTTTAGAAGAACTGCATTTAAACACAGTGTTCTCTCAAAAATATGGATTGCACATTATTTCAGCAGTATATAATCAGCTGAAGCACAAAGATATTCCATGGTTAAAGAAACAAAATCTTAAAAGGAAGCAATACTAGACACTAACCATTATTTGAAGAGAGGTAAAAACAGGGACAGTTTGTTTCTTCAGCAAATACAGAGTCAGCTACTTAAATAATCCTACCTACAAATGCAGCTATCTGATACACTGGTATATTATTTCCGGAAACGAGAGTATCATAAAACAAATACGTTTACATTATTTTCTCCAATTAGCAGTTTTCAGAAATGATTGATAATCTGCTGGTAATACCTTCAAACAGCTACCTAGTGCATTCTCTTTGTTGTAAATAATCTAGAAACCACTTACAGGTTGTGATTCCTTAAACAAAAAAGGATTTTAAACACATGCTCCCCACCTCCGAGCAACTGTGCACTATGAAAATGTTTCACATATCAATTCCAATATTCAGTATGAGTTTGCAGGTACCAGTCATCCGTAGAACTAATGCTGTGGAGCCTACCTGCCCCCTAAGCTCCACCAGCTCCTGCTGAGCTGCAGCATTCAAGGACGCAGCATGTAAGTTTTAACTACAGGTTGTTGGTTCAAATTAATAAATGCCTGAAGTTGTTCCTAATTTATGCTCGTTGAGTAGCCTGGACTGGGAAGTTCCTACTGGAAAGGCCATTGAATAGGCTGCCATTTCTGTCAGTACCTGGCTTGTGGCAGGATTGCATAGAAAAGCAACGTTGGTTGTTCTGCTCCTTAATCAGTAGTATGCTATGCTATATGTATATATATGTAAAATTAAAGCATTACTTCATAGTTTTATTATGGAAACTTTAGGTGCTTCAGAGCTACACTGCAGAAAAAGCCTCTTACATGATACAGGAGGTTAGACCACCCAACTGCTATGATCTGAAATGGCAACCGTTACACTTTTATTTACCTTACTACACTCTACTTCAGCACAGGGAAAAATCCTTTGGTTTGGCTAGTCAAAACCCCGGAGCATTCCAGGTTTTTAATCACAGGAGAAGCCAATTTCTCCTTTATATGGAAGATGATAAGTTCTAGGAGACCTTGAAGTTTTCAGATAGTAACAGCTTCCTCAGAGAAAAAGATTGTTAATTCTTTATGCTTTGATAAAATCCCACAGACCCAAAATATCTGCAGATAGTGACAAACAAGAAATAAGTTTAAAAGGAAACTGTAACTCTTAAATCTTACTTTAATTCTCATTTTCATATTAAAAAAACCCACCCCGAAACAGTCTGTATTTTATTGGTCAATACTGCAAAGTGAACTAATTGTATTTTTGGCTCATGATACCACAGACTTGGTTCAGAATTTGTAAGATGGATGACTGCATGCGATGCAAATTTAAAGCCAAAATTCAATTTCTTAAAAACAATAATTATGCAAACCTACTATTTTTCTTTAAAAAGGGTTTGTGATTTTTCTCCATTATGAAATAGGCTCTATGGAAGACGGGGAATATCAGTAAGTTATTACACATAGAAATTTAAATTACAGAGTCTCTAGCAAATTCCACTGGCTTCAGTACAAATAAAAGCTATGCTTCCCAAGGGAACGTCAAGGAATTTATGGCATTATAGATTAATCTCAGTGAAGTTAAAAACCCTCTCAATTCTAATAATCATAACCCCTGTTTGGTACTGTCTCTTTCCAATATCTGAAAGTGGGGTATAAGGCAGGGAGGAGCCCTTTTCCACAGGGGGTGACCTTCCTTAGTGCTGTAGGAATAACAAATAATTTGAAAAATGTTAAGTAGAGCTCCATCTTTATAGTTCTATATGGTCCACATTGGAAGGCAACTTTGCAGTTGTGCCCTCAGAAGCCCAATTACCACGCTGCAAATACAGCTGCTGGGAAGCAATGGAAGGGGATGTGATGATGGGGGAACAGAACTTAAGACACTATTCCACCATACAGGTCTCCGTGAACAGCATCTAGGGCATGAATATCCACCGTGGCATTACATCTGGACTTACCAGATAATTGTAAAACATGTTCTTGGACTTCTGTATCTCATCATTGCTTATGAGCAGCTGCTTAGAGGGACACAGTGGGAATTCCTAGGGTTCAATGCTAATGATTTTCAGGTCACAGGCAACAGCGTGTACTAGCAGTGAATGTGCATGACACAATCACTGTGTCGTAGGTTGACTGTAAAGATCTCTGCATGGGTAAGATAACTGATCAAATTTAAACCACTAGCAAAATGGAAATTTTGGTTGTAGGCAGAAAGAAAAACTTCACTGAAATTTCCACCACAGTCTTATCTTCAGAGAAGGGAATAAATTCCAAAGCCCATCAAAAGAGTTTCCTATTTAAAATCTTTAGAGATAATTATCTGATATGCGTGTAGCAAACACTATTTACAGCTTACAGTATTGCCTGGTTGTTTGCTTTTTGAATAAAAACTTGATCAAAAAGATGCTGCACTTTTTTACCCTTCTTCCCAAATGAAATTAATACAATATACTGCAGCAACCTTCCTCAACAGCCCACCACACTGAAAGAACATAATCCACCTCACAGCATATAGGCTCAACCTAAAATTTTATGAGTTAAAGGAATTTTTGAGTTCCAGGAAGAGTTTAAACATAAAACATAACTTCATTAATTTTTAAAGGTTATTTCAAGGTCTGGACAATTTTTTCAAATTTTCAAAGCTATCTTAGTTCCACGTCTGAGCTCTCTAGATTTGCTAAATACTTATAATACATAATAGTGCTTTTTAGGTGTATTAATATAAGAAGTCAGTAAGTTTAACCTTTGCCTTTTTTTTTCTTTTTAAATTGTAGCATAGGTTTTACTTTAAAGCAAAAAAAAATTATATTACAGAATCCTTGCACACATGAATGCTGGCACACTGCCAACAACTTGTGCAGGATACACGTGGTTCACTTTTTCAAACCCATATGACTGTTTCAGTTAAACCTCTTGAGATACACACCTTATATTTAAAACACCTGTTCCAAAGGTCTTTTAGAAATTCGGTTAGAATGACTGGAAACGGAAGGAAACTAATCTGATAAAGAAATGTTACGTGTGTTGTTTCTATTCTTGGGCATTTGTGAACAGAATAAATATGTTAAAAAACTCATTCTGTCAAGTTCAGCTAAACCCAGGAACTTTCAGTACTACTTTACTGATGAAACACAAATCTAAAACTGCTGTAATGTATGTTTTCTAAAAATAATCACCAGTCCTGAAGATGGTATTAGTGTCGCACGGACACCCACCCCAGTACCTTTCCCTGCACGAGAGAGAACATGTATTCAATACCTCTCTCTCCAGATTTCTAATGTGCAACCAAGACTGATGATACAATTTTCAGCTCACACCTTTCCTTCCAGGAAAGCTATAAAAAAGTAGCTAGTACTTTACCATAGCAAATCAAAGCTCCATAAAATCTAACGTAGCCTTCATATTTTCATGTAATCATCGCCAGAAATTCAAACAATTTATTTTAAAAAGACTTACTATCAAATAAAAAACCCTCTAGACTACTACAAGATAGGCTTCAGAATACGTAATTTTTACAGAAGAAATTTATGGTAGCTTGAGCAAGCCTGTATGGCAGTTGTTTAATCTCTTGTCTGTCTAAACACTGATGAAAGCCTGTCTTCGTCAGCAATGACCAAGGTGCATCCAGAGAAGGGCACCGAAGCTGGTGAGGGGTCTGGAGTACAACTCTTATGAGGAGTGGCTGAGGGAACTGGGGTTGTTGAGCCTAGAGAAAAAGAGACTGAGGGGAGACCTTATCGCCCGCTACAACTGCCTGACAGGAGGGGGTAGTGAGGTGGGTGTTGGTCTCTTCTCCCCAGTAACAAGCGATAGGACAAGAGGAAATGGCCTCAAGTTGTGCCAGAGGAGGTTTAGATTGAACATTAGGAAAAATTTCTTCACCAAAAGGCTTGCCAAGCATTGGAATGGGCTGCCCAGGGAAGTGGTTGAGTCCCCATCCCTGCAGGTATTTAAAAGATTTGTGGATGGGTTTAAAAGATGCTTAGGGACATGGTTTAGTGGTGACTATGGCAGCTCTAGGTTAACAGTTGGACTTGATGATCTTAAAGGTCTTTTCCAACCTAAATGATTCTATGATTCTGTGAAAACATTGCCTGCATTGTGATTCTACAATCACAGTAGAATTTGGTTCAAATGCTTCATTTTAGCAAAGAAATTTTAAAGGGTAAAAATGGTTATTTGAAATAAGGAGTCAAAAAAGATGCCATCATATGTCTAGAGCTCTGAAAAAACCCCAGAGGGTTGCCTGAGGCAAGACGCTGTGTCGTGACTACCTGTAGGTACATCTCCAGGAAATGTTCAGTCCAAAGGGTCTTGACCCAGCACCTCTGTGAGCCAGTGCTCTTCTTCACTCCCTATTTCAGGTTTCCTACACCTGTGCTTGAAGGGTTCAAGAAATAGTCTACACACAGCCCATTTTCATGTGACTGCAATTCCTGATAGATATAGCCTGCAGTAGAGCAAAGATATTATAGGAGAACTAAGAAAATTACCCACCTAATAATTTAGCTCCAAAATACTCATTTCCCTGCACAGCCTACCTTGGCAATAGCAGCTATGTAAAAACAAGCCGAGTTGATGCTATTCTTTAAACTCTCAGCTGCTCTCTCTCAGCTGGATTGCAGTTAGGGACCATATGACTGCTTTCCATTTATTTAGATGTGAGGTCATGCAATTTGTCTTAAACCACCAGTTTTAACAAGGTGGATGCTAAAGAATTGCGGCTGGAGTTCAGACACAACAGGGATATGCTGGAAAATGTTCTGTATCTTTCAGGGGATTAAGGCCAAATTCTGCAATAAATGCCACTAATTTATGCATTTATCCCAATTTGGCTCAAATGTAAGCATGCTGTGTGATATTATGAAACTCAGTATCTGATTCCACAGTAAAAGAGGCCCATTTCCTGATTGCTTCAAATTTGCAGCTTCTAAAGCTGCTGCATAATATTTACAACACTTACCTCCTTCCAGTGTTTTCAGAATACAGATTCATTATGAGTAAGATAGCCAATTCTAAAACTAATAATCTAAAAACTATTTTCTCTGCCTGTATTTTACAAGGGAAAAGGCAGAAGCAGCTCACGGTGAGACATTTACATCTGAATATTATTTTATTTCATGTTTTTGGCTTACTGCTTACTCCCCAAGCTGAGCAAACCCTGGACCTTACCAGGAGCTATGGCAGAGACCTGCCATGCAAAAGGATTTTCCAAAACTAAAAGCAAGGAACTAGTCTCTGATCACCCTTGAGGAATGCTGCATCTACAGATTTGAAGCTCCTGTTTAACAATGCCAATGAAACGAATGCACCTCCGAATCTGCCTCAAATATTAAACAAAGAACGTAAAATATATTACAATAAATATGTAAGAAAACCTCTTTTTCGATTATGAATATTACATGTTATTTCAGTAACAAAGTGACCAAAAAAGTTATATCGAATCTTCATTTTAGAAACCTTTCTCTACATAGCATCATCAGTGAAAATGAACGTACCTTCATCTTCCCAGCAACTGTTTGTACTCCCTTCTCTTTCACTGTTTTCTGGTAATACTGTATGGTCTGTTGGCAAGTCATCTTCTGGCACACTAGCATCACAGTCTGCTGCATCAGTTACACTTTCTTCTTCCACTATATGCAATTTATCTTCATCATCTGAATCTGAGTTTGCTTCTACCACGTTATTGTAATTGGTGACTGTGAACAGACAAAAAGCAAAATACTGATCAATATACTTTTAATTTACAGCATGAAGGTCCAAAGCTTTCAGTACTGTGGCCAGATGCTAGATCTGGGGTGTCTTTATGGAGTCACATTATTATTTCTTCTTTCCACATGGGGATGGCAGTGGCTTGCAAGCAACTTGGACGTAACGGCAGCACACAAGGAGACATCTGACAGCTGCTGGGCTTCTACCACTGCTAGGAACCACGATCTCTCTCACTTCTGAACACCCAGCCTAAAGCTGCACAAGAAAAGGCAGCGGACAACTCCAGAGTTGTCTTCTAAGGCCACACTGAAGCATCAGGCTTCCAGCTGGATCACTCCAATTTGGATACCAGCATTACTGTATGTTTCCTTTAAGAAACTTATGGCGTGGTCAGTAGTCTGTGAAACACTTAATACTGATAAACAACATTTTCTTACAGACAGATGTGTATAACCAGGACAGGCTGTATGTATATAGCAGTCAGTGAGGTACAGAAGGAAAAAGCTGCAGGAAAACAACTGGCGCTGAAGATCAAATGACCCCAGGCTGAGCACACTCCAGAGAAGGTGGCTCAGTGGCTCCTGGCCGGTCCCACAGATCAAGCCCTGCTCTGCAGTCATGCACGCGAGCTGCGCTCACCCACTCCACCTTCTTGTTGGCTTTTCCTGTAACCGATGCCACCTCCGTGCTCCGGGTATGTGAATCAAGGAGGAATAAACGGGGACAATGAGGGGATTTGATTCAGAAGGGCTAAAGTGCTCCTGATCCAAGCGAAAACACTCTTGTCATTACATCTGAAGATCACACTAAAGACTCAGCAGGACGAATGTGAAAGGGAAAAATCTCAGAGGTGACTCATAAACGAAATCTCGCATAACATTTTCCCCAGCGACCATGGAAAAGGTAATAACTCTACTTTTTCAGCCTGGAGAACATATTTTGAAAGTCCTGTGGACAAAGGATTACATGACGATATATATGTTTCTGTCATATGGGAGCAGATTATTATTAAAATAGTCTTCATTTGTAAGCACAAAAGATCAGTTACAGCCATTTCAATTTAAATGGTAAGGATTATGCATTAAGAAAAAAATTACTCTCACAATCTGTTGAAATGTCTTGTTACTCACACCGAAGTCAAACTATTAAACATTTACATCTATATGTGTGTTACTTCTTCAGTGCCAAGTTTGAACATCTTATTGAAATGCTTCAAAATACAGTTTAAGAAAGAGAATAAATTTATCAATGAATAAACTAACAAGACCGGTCTTGGCTGCAGCACTCCTTCAGTGGTTATCAGAATTATACCTGGGAGGCACATCATCACGCTACTTTATGATACCTGCATGCTGTCACTGTTAGCACATAGGAAGCCAGGCTTTCATCTGAAATCCTGCCTATTAAGGCAGATAAATAGCAAACTAGACTCCTGCTCTTCTGAAGTTAGCCTTTTTTTTTTTTTTTTTTTTTTTTTTAAAGTAGATATTCTAGTCATTTAAAAGTGCATTTCAGCAGGGAAAGTGAGTAACATTATGAACTGACAGGCTACTATCTCATTTCCTTCCAATTCGGGAGAAAAATGTCTCATCTAGAACACGCATAAGCATGACAAAAGAGCCTTTTGAATTTAAAAACAATCATTCTGTGCTTCCATATTTTATACACATAGTGTTATTTGAAAAATGTAGTAATGCCCCACTATTCATGGTATTGACCTCTTCTAAGAGAACAAATTTAGGCAAATTGCCTAAATACTAGTATCTGCTCGATTTCAATCGATAAATTGATATTCACGTTATATTCTGTAGCTGATTTTGCAAAGTAAAATAGGTACTGTAAGGGATGCTGTAACGTTGTGCGAAGAGGAGACATACATGGATTCCTTCACCAAAGCAGAAGGGATTTATGAATTGATTTGCTTGAGAAATGGTAAACTCAACTTTAAAAAAAGTGTAAGAACAGACATAAACCAGGAAAAAGTGGAAAAATTATTTCAGCCTGTTGTCTTAACTGGACTTTACTGTGATGCTTAGATGTAGAGGATGATTAATATAAAACAACAACATATGTACCTTTGCCACACGTAAAGGAGATCAGTAAGAGCAGGGATCAAAATTTATAGGCATAAGTTCAGATTTCAGTAATGTAAATCATGAATACTTGATTTTTAAAGTTTGGGAAATTAAATGGAATCCTTTATATTAGATTTAGAGTCTTTTTTATGGAAAAAGAAAATATAATAACAAAGTTTGTACTGAAGAATTACACTTATGAAAAAAAAATCTCTTCCTCGTCATATATTTTTTGATTTTAAATATAATCTAATCATTAGGGCTCTATCTACCTTGAAACATTTTCATACATTCTCACTACACTCACTCATGTGCTAACTCTGCAAAACTTAAAAACTCCTTCTCCATAAAAAGTGAGGAACAAATGGTCTTTGGGATTTCGGTTCCTTCCTCCAAATATCAGTTGTCAACAAGGCAACACAACAAAATCAGCAAGAAATCTGGCTTTAACATTCCTGTTTGCTTCTTATGAAGAGCTTTGGGGAAAATAAACTGCCAAACCTGCATCTGAAAGGGCTCGGCACATTTGGGATGGCCAGGCAACCCACACAGCAAACGCAGCAGAAAGTTGAGCACTTAAAAATGACAGAAGCATTCATATATCTATAGGCAGCTCTAACTAAATGATTACACACTATTTTCCCTCTACGGGATCCTCGCCTCATCTAGTGTAGCGATGGCAAATATGCAGGGAACGCTCTGTTTTATGGAGTGAACTGAGTATTCGCAGGATCCTGCCTCATTTTTTCAGGTTGCCAAGTGATCGCTCCTTCTTTTTATCCCCATCAGCCAGCAGCGTTCCCAAAGCCTCACTTACAGGATGTCAGCCAAAATGGGATTCCTCACTACATATTACATCTAATCTATTATATATTACATATTATATGTATTTATATACAACATGTTATAACTATATC